TGTTTTTTGAGACACAGTCCTGCTCTGTCACCCAGGCAGGAGTGCAGTGACACGTTCTCAACTCACTGCAACCTCCGCCTCCTGGGTTCAAGTGATTCTGCCTCAGCCTCCTGAGTAGCTGGGATTACAGGCATTGGTCGCCATGTCTGGCTAGTTTTTGTATTTTTAATAGAGACTGAGTTACACCGTGTTGGCCAGGCTGATCTTGAACTCCTGATCTCAGGTAAACTGTCCACCTTGGCCTCCCAAAGTGCTGGGATTACAGGCATGAGCCACTGTGCCCGGTCAAGAAGTGACTGTGTGACTTTTGAGACTGGGTCATAAAAAACATTGTGGTTTCCACCGTGGTCTCAGATTGCCCTAAGGGAAGCTAACTGCCATGCTCGCAGGACACTCAAGCAGCCCCATGGAGAGACCCACATGGAAAGGCACTAAGGTCTCCAGTCAACAGTGAGCACCAGCACAGCAACCACGTGTGCGAGCCCCCATGGAGGTGGATCCTCCAGCCCCAGTCAAGCCTTCAGGCAAGACTGCAGCCCCCACCGTCATCTGACCGAAACCTTAAGAGAGACCCCAAGCCAGAATGTCCCACTGAGCAGTTCTCAAATTCCTACCCACAGAAACCATGAGACCATTAAAAAAAAAAAACAAAAAAAAAACCAACATTAATGTTTTTGGTCACTACATTTTGGAATGATTTGTTACTCAGCAATAGATAACACATAGACATTCCGTCAACAATTCAATAAATAAAGAATGCATATATAAACATAAATCATCTCTAGAATTGGTCTGGCTGCAAGCCTCACTGAACAGGGGACTATCTGAAGCTGTTTCTCCTCTCACAGTGCCCAGGCTGCACCACTTTCTGGTACCATATTTTTAACTGTGCCTAGATCCCAGCTTGACTACATGTCTTCTGCCTAAATCCATTATTTCTATCGGAGGCATCAACAATTTTGCGAAAATGAGAGGTTACAGAGTTGTCTTTCATTTTTTACCTGTGCTTTTTCTATTAGCACTGTCCTTTTTCTTTTCTTTTCTTTTTTCTTTTTTTTTTTTTGAGATGTAGTCTTGCTCTGTAACCCAGGCTGGAGTGCAGTGGCACGACCTTGGCTCACTGCAACCTCTGCCTCCCAAGTTCCAGTTCAAGCAATTCTCCTGCCTCTCCCTCCCAAGTAGCTGTGATTACAGGCGCATGCCACCATGCCCAGCTAATTTTTGTATTTTTAGTAGAGACAGAGTTTCATTATGTTGGCCAGGTTGGTCTTGAACTCCTGACCTCACGATCTGCTCGCCTTGGCCTCCCAAAGTCCTGGGATTACTGACGCGAGCCACCACGCCCGGCCACGCACTGTCCTTTTCACTCCAAATGCTCTGCCATATGTGTCTTCTTTCGATTTCCCCTGAAACTTCCCTAGTTCAATTGAAAAGCATGGGCTTTGGAGGGTGACATATCTTGGCTTGGGCTGGACTGATGACTTACCAGCTACTTGCTTGAGTAGACTTTTTAAAGTCTCGAAGCCTCAGTTTCCTCTTCTGCTAAATGGAGCTAACAATAATAATACTACCTAGTTCACGGGGACTGTTACCACTCATGGCAACGACAAGTGTGTACATATACGTGTGTGTGAGTATGTCACCTGGCACGGTTCCAGGCACATGGCAGGCATTCTTCAATCCTAACAGCTACCCTAAAAGGTAGACTTTGATTCTTCATGTTACAGAGGAGCAAAAATGTTCAGAAAAGCCAAGGACGTTACCCAACACCAAGTAGCTAGAACGCGCCAGGCCTGCGGTGTTGTGACGCCCGGGTCCTGTGCACTCCACCTGCTCACACTGCGTCACTGCAACAGCGAGCTGTTCTTCTCACCCGCAGTCCATGTCTTGTCCCAGCCATCCTGAACAGAACTGACAGACTCATACCCTCTAAGGCCGACTGGGTCACCCCCTTGACTATGATCCTGCAACGTCTCTGGTGGTCCAAATTCGACTTCCCAAGTGCTTTCGGCTGCTCTTCCGTTCCGGGACTCTCTCCTACTGCTCTGCCAATCCACATGTTCCCTTTCGCTCGCCCCTTGTACTCTGCCCAGTCAGGCCAGCACTTCCCTCACTGGCATCCTCTCCCTCCTGTGCGTGCCTCACCGTCCTACGCGCGGTCCCTAGCTGCAGGGACCCATCTCTGCTGTCCTTGTTTCTTCCCCATTGTGCACACCTGGCCCATCAAGGCCCAGCTCCGGTCCCCATTCCTGCACGCTGCCCTCCTGGCTGTTCTAGGCCCCAGTGATCTCATTTTTTTTTTTTTTTTTTTTTGAGATGGAGTCTCGCTCTGTTGCCCAGTCTGGAGTGCAGTAACATGATCTCGGCTCACTGCACCCTCCACCTCCTGGTTTCAAGCGATTCTCCTGCCTTAGCATCCTGGCTAGCTGGGATTATAGGCATGTGCCACCCGGCTAATTTTTATTTTGAGAAGGAGTTTTGCTCTTGTTGCCTAGGCTGGAGTGCAGTGACATAATCTCGGGTTCAACAACCTCCGCCTCCTGGGTTCAAGGGGTTCTCTGGCCTCAGCCTCCCAGGTAGCTGGAATTACAGGCACGCACTGCCACACCCAGCTAATTTTTGTATTTTTAGGAGAAATGGGGTTTTGCCATGTTGGCCAGGCTGGTCTCGAACTCCTGACCTCAGATGATCCACCTGCCTCGCCTCCCAAAGAGCTGGGATTGCAGGCATGAGTCACCGTGCCCAGCCTCATCTTTCAACTCCTGCCTCTCTACTTGGTATTTAGTCCTCAGGCTTCATCTTCCCAATTGGATTGTGAGTTCCCAAAGGACCAGAATCATCGGCTGGACGAGCTTTGTGTGAGCCGACACAATACATAGTAGATGGTAAAGATTTCATTGCTCTGCTAAAATTTATTTAGCTCCATAGCTTTGGAAGGAATTAGGAACTGTCTTCTAAACTAAGCAAGGGAGAACACCGTTTGCATCTGTCTGTCTGTCTGTCTATGAGACCCCTCGTAGCAGAGGAGTTGCAAAGAAGGTCCTATTGAGGGTCACTTTGGAACCAGAGGCCCACCTGGATTTCCTCACGCAAAGGAAACAGATTTCAGACTCCCAGTTGGCCTTGAAGGGACAGAGCTCAGCCAGTCCATGGGACGGGAACCCCACTGATGTTTTCTGACCACCTCCTCTTTTTGGTGCCTCCTAAATTCCCAGCAGCTTCTACTTCTCTAAGCCTCATCCTTCCTCCAGCCCTAACCCATGTCCCACTAATCCCCGGCGTCCATCACCACAGACCTCCCACGGGCCCTGGGGCTGCAACCCTCCCACTCTGCACTCCCTCCCAGCACCTGCTTCCCCAGTGACCTTGACCTCAGCCCCAGCCTCTTCCCCAGTCCCGCAGTTCCCCCCCATCCCCATCAGGCTCCAATCTTCTCTGAGCCTCCAGAACCCGGCTTTGCCCTGCTCGAAGCCTCTCATCCCAAAGCCCTGCTGTCAGCCTCTGGCTCCATTGTGGCTCCATCTACTGCCACCCCTATCCCTGGCTCAATTGCCCCAAGAGCCACCTCTCCCCCCATTCCTGCTCTTCCTGATTGCTGCATTTGCTCTTCCCTGGGGCCCAGCCCAGGCCATCTCCTCTGGCATTCCAAATATTAAGTAAAAGAAAGTGACTCCCTTTAAAGAAAACTATTAAATAAATAGAAGTACAGGTGACACTCAGCTGTGGCAGAGGCTGGGTAGCTTCAAAGTCAAGCACAGCTTGGGGTGAAATGACCTGAGTCTGAATTCTGCTTCTCCTACCTCCTAGCTGTGTGACCCTGGGCTACTTAATAAACTGTTTCTGACTTGGCTTTTCCTACTGTAAAATTGGGAAAATAGTAGCACTTTACCTGAAGGAGCTACTTTGAGGACTAAATATGTGCCTACCACTGTGTAACAGCCTCCAAAATACTGAGGTTTATTCATTTAAAAAGTCTGTCGGCCGGGCGCAGTGGCTCACACCTGTAATCCCAGTTCTTTGGGAAGCCAAGGTGGGCAGATCACTTCAGGTCAAGAGTTCAAGACCAGCCTGGCCAACATGGCAAGACCCACGTCTCTACTAAAAATACAAAAATTAGCCAGGCGTGGTGGTGTGTGCCTATAGTCCCAACTACTCGGGAGGCTGAGGCAGGAGAATTGCTTGAACCCAGAAGGTGGAGGCTGCAGTGAGCCCAGATGGCACCACTGCACTCCAGCCTGGGCGACAGAGTGAGACTCCGTCTTAAAAAAAAAAAAAAAACCTGTCAATGAAGTAATTCATCCCAAGAACTAAAATTCAGAGCACTAATGACAGCAGGAGCACAAGCAATGTTTAAATTGCTGTCTGCATGTCCTCGCCAAGGTCCTATACGTCAGGAGACTCAGTCCCTTTCAGTATTTTTTTACATGCTGCAGCATCAAACGTTACAAGGGGAACTTAGAATTTCTGAAACATGCCTCCAAATGTCAGATCATTGTCATAAAGTTTGAAATCAGGAATAAGAAAAGTTCCCTAACAGTATGTTTAGGCATAATAATGATTTTGTCATGTGACAAGGGGTCAGTGAAGAGGGGTCAACCAGGTGTGGTGGCTTACACCTGTAATCCCAGCACTTTGAGAAGCTGAGGTGGGAGGATCACCTGAGGGCGGGAGTTCAAGACCAGTCTGGGCAACATAGTGAGACCCTCTCTTAAAAAAAAAAAAAAAAAAAAAAAAAAAAAAAAGAGTGGTCAGACTTGAGGCTGTGTCTTAATAAGGATATATACATTTCCATCCCCGAAGTCTCCTCTGCAGGGAGCTATGTAGGGAGGAACGTTGGGAGGCCCTGTAAATTCTTCCTGCACCCAGAAACACACATATCCACGCCCCCAACTTGACTGGTCCCAAACAGGCTCCCTGAGACAGCAAGCCCACACGAGGGGCTGATCTGTGGCCCAGGCAAGGTTAATCTCAGAGAGTTAAGAGCAGTTGGCCTGACTTACCAATCTCATAAAACGGCAGAGAATAGTCTCTTTGGTAAGTGGTTTCTTTATACCATGATTCGGCAGGCTTTGAATGTCTTCGAAAACAAATACAGCGAATGAGTGTCTGTTGGTCTAATTGAGGCTGATAGTGATATTTTCTCTTGGGTGGAATTGTCAAGTCTATGAGCGGTCTACATGGAAACAGAAACAGTTTGCTGAAAACCCAGTAGAAAAAAGCAATCCATTTTCTCATCAGCTTAATTCATTCTCTGGAGTGGCCATGGGGCTAACAAGGGAGTATTGACAAGACTCCCAAGCTTCAGTACATAGTTCAGGGACTTCTGCTCCTGTTCTTCCCTTTAGCCTCCCTCCTCTCCAATCACGGGTCCTAGGAGGTGATGTGCATCACACTGTCCGCTAGACCCACCCATGTGCAGCCACTTCCCACACTCCAGAGGTCCCGGTGCCCTTTCCCTATGTAATGGTTCTATGGATGTTTGGTTGCTTTAAGGAACCAATGCAGGGGTGGGGTGGTGGCTCACGTCTGTAATCCCAGCATTTTTGGAGGCTGAGCGGGGCAGATTGCTTGAACTCAGGAGTTCGAGGCCAGCCTGGCAACATGGCAAAACCCTGTCTCTACAAAATAATACAAAAATTAGCTGGGTGTGATGGCATGCACCTGTGGTCCTAGCTACTAGAGAGGCTTAGGTGGGAGGATCCCTTGATCCCAGGAGGCAGAGGTTACAGTGAGCTAAGATCAAGCCTGGGTGACAGAGCGAGACCCTGTCTCAAAGACAAAAAAAAAAAAAAAAGAATCCAGTACATCTGGTTATCTGGTTAGGGTTAGACTAACCACTGTGTGCCTCTTGGGGTTTGACAGACCTGAAATTGGTTATAACCTTCCTGGACCCCTACTCAAATAGATATCCCTTGGGAAAGAAAAGCAAACAGCAACCAAAATGTAATGGCAAAATATCGCTTGTGGCAGTATAGTTTCACGGGCACAACTCTGGTGATACATATTAAAACCTTGAAAATGTGCACATATTTTGTCCGGGCAATTAGATGTCAACAAAGACTTAGCTCTAAGAATGCTTGTCAAAGTGTTTTTATGGTAATAAAAGAGTGGGGACAACTTTCATGTAAAAAAATAGGAAATTATTTAGACAATGACACAGAAATATGTGGGAATGCCATGCCACCATACCAGGCGCGGTGGCTCACACCCGTAAACCCAGTGCTTTGGGAGGCCGAGACTGGCGGATCACCTGAGGTCAGGGGTTCAAAACCAGCCTGGCCAACATACTAAAACTCATCTCTACTAAAAATACAAAAGTTAGCTGGGCATGGTGGTGGACTCCTGTAATCCCAGCTACTTGGGAGACTGAGGCAGGAGAATCGCTTGAACCCAGGAGGCGGTGGTTACAGTGAGCTGACATCATGCCATTGCACCCCCGCGGGGAAAAAAAGGGGAGACTTTTTAAAAAAAAAAAAAAAAAAAAAAAGATGTTGTAGGATTATAATTTTTGAAATGGAAAAAAGTCCACAATACGTTATTAGGTTTAAACAAAGGTTTCAATTGAATTATGCACTGAATTGAATTAAATTAAATTCATTTCAATTGAATTAAATGGATGAATTGTATGGTATGTGAATTATCTCAGTGCAGCTGTCACCAAAAATAAAAAGGTTTTGAAACACCCATCCCGTCCTATTTTGGATGATTCTGCATGATTATCTCTGGGAGATGATATTGTGGATAATTTTCAATCATTTCATTTTTTATTGTGAATGTTTTCTGAATGTTCTCATAAACCTTTATGTTTTTAAACTGCAAAATCGATGAGATGAGTTGCTGTTGATGTGAAACATATTAAGTATTGGTTGAGATTTAGGAACATCTAAATCAATTGGGGTGAGTCGCCTTATGTGAGTGTATTGCTGTGAACTAATCACACTTAAAGAGGTGACTCAGACTGCTTAACCATCAGTTGTGCTTGCCTAATTCGGTAACCTTCACTGCGACGTGCCTTCTTTAAGAAACAGTGTGTTAGCAGAAATGGAGTGGCTCTACCTGATGTTCAGAAAAAGCAAGAGCAAGAATCCAGCCATGCTCGTGGGATACTGAACGGGGAGAGATGCTGGATGATTGGAAGGGTGCTCTGTATGGATGGGCCTAAAGAATCATCGAGAATACCCACCCACCTCTACTTGTTCTGATTTTATGTTTAACAGGTGTCTGACCTTGTAAAGCAGATGCCCTAAATGATGGGTGAGCGTACTCCTTTTCCTACAAAAGAGTGTCTCCCACTGTCAATCAAACAGTAATGGTCTGGGGAATGCATCAGTTTCTTGTGAGTTTGGATTCTGTGTGACCATCACTACTAGTCTAGTAACTTCTGTGTCACTGATGGCTCTGACTGCTGAACCAGACCCTGGGGACTATTCCTAGATGACCTCTGCTGGACTGTCAGCATGCCTCTACTTTTGACTGCGTGTTATTCTCCCTTTTCATGTAATATATCAATGCCCTTCTGAAGACAAGACTTTCACTCAGACGAAGGACTCTGCTGCTGAAGGACATCAAGTTGGTGGAGGAACGTGTCTGGGGAAGGCAAGCCATTACACATACCTCTCAAGTTACACCATGACCACAATAGCTAAACCTAGGTCTGGTCCTGACAATGTCATTATTTCCTAGTTTTGTCTTGTTTTGCTTGTCTTCTTTTTTCCTCTTGTTCTTAACTAGAAGCTCGATGAGCTCATAGACTGACATCTGCATTGAGTTTGCCACTTAAGGCTAACCTTGGGCAGGCACAAGTCTCGTCAGGGTCAAGGTTCCCTTTAATTGAGCCGTCCTCCAGTCGGACTGATACTTGGGTGCCGGGCAGAGACGGAGGAGGGTGATTGTCAGAGTTCACACAACATGGGGGTATTCTGTGGAGTTGGTCCGTGAGCAGCTCTGGCAGTGGGGTTCTGTCATTTCCTGTCTATCCTCCGGCAGAAAACATAGCCCTAATAGTTTAATACAGTATGAATTTGAGTTAGAACAAAGAGTTTTGAACTGGGAACCAGAAAATGAAAATAGATGCAAGCCCAACTTTTTTTTTTTTTTGAGACAGAGTCTCCCTTTGTTGCCCAGGCTGGAGTGCAATGGCACGATCTTGGCTCACTGCAAACTCTACCCCCTAAGTTCAAGCAATTCTCCTGCCTCAGCCTTCTAAGAAGCTGGGATTACAGGTGCATCCTACCGTGGCTGGATAATTTTTGTATTTTTAGTAGAGACAGGATTTCACCATGTTGGCCAGGCTGGTCTGGAACTCCTGACCACATGAGCTGCCCACCTCAGCCTCCCAAAGTGCTGGGATTACAGGCGTGAATCACCGCGCCCAGCCCTTCAAGCCCAATTTTTATACCAACTAACTGGGTGACCTCAGGCCAGACATGTCACTTCTCTGAGCTACATTTCATTCATCTAATTAAACCAGAATGGCCCTTAAAGCTACTTCTTGTTTGATCATCGATTACATTTAGATTCTGCTGTTTTAAGCCATGCAGGCCACGGCCCCCTTCTCCTTGCATGGAGGATACCCGGGAGCCGACTACGTCGCAGGCAATGAAGAGGAATGTGCAATATGTGCTAGAGGTTGAATCCAATGACAGCAATCATATGCTGAGTGCTTACAAAGTTCTGAAATGTTACACCAGTTATTTATTTAATAGATAAGGCGACTGATACTTGCAGAAGAAATGAAAATTGCCCGAAGTCAAACACTTCTTAACTTACTCTACTTGCTACTTTTAACCCCTGTGGTTTCCAGCCTTTTCTAACTAGAAAATGAGGCCAAAGTGCCTCTGGTTTTCGTTTTTCTTTTTGTTAAAGTCATACCTAGAAAGGCAGAAACCATTTGGGCTAAATTCATAATTTGACTGAGAAAGAAACTGGGAAATTTGTCCCCAGTTCCTGGCACTGAGTTCCTAAAATTTAAGTTACTTGACTAAGTTAAAACGCTCATGGTGTTTCTTAAATGTCTTTGATGAGTTAATAAAATGCTGTATTTATTGCTGCTTGTAGAAGTAATATATGCTTATTAGAGAAACTCTAGAAAATAGAGAGAAATATTTAAAAATAAAGCATAAGCTGGGTGGGGGGCTCACGCCTGTAATCCCAGCACTTTGGGAGGCCCCGGTGGGCAGATCACTTGAGGCCAGGAGTTTGAGACCAGCCTGGCCAACATGGTGAAACCCCGTCTCTACCAAAAATACAAAAATAATAGCTGGGTGTGATGGCGTGCGCCTGTAGTCTCAGCTACTCGCGAGGCTGAGGCAGGAGAATTGCTCGAACTGGGAGGCGGAGGTTGCAGCGAGCCAAGATCGTGCCACTGCACTCCAGCCTGGGCGATAGCGTGAGACCTTGTCTCAAAAAAATTAAAAATAAAATATAAAATAAGAATAATCTCACCACTCATTTAAAAAAAAAACATTAACAGTTTGGTATATTTCCTTTCTTCTATCCATTAAATAATACTTTTTTTTTTTTTTTTTGAGACGGAGTTTCACTCATGTTACCCAGGCTGGAGCGCAATGGCGCGATCTCGGCTCACTGCAACCTCCGCCTCCTGGGTTCAGGCAATTCTCTTGCCTCAGCCTCCTGAGTAGCTGGGACTACAGGCACGCACCACCATGCCCAGCTAATGTTTTGTATTTTTAGTAGAGACGGGGTTTTACCATGTTGACCAGGATGGTCTCGATCTCTTGACCTCGTGATCCACCCGCCTCGGCCTCCCAAAGTGCTGGGATTACAGGCTTGAGCCACCGCGCCCGGCCAATAATACTTATTTTTGCTATTATCAATATTATGAGGAGTTGTGTATCTTCCACCCCCCTCTTTTTATCATTATAACGTGAGTGACATTTTTGGAAATCGAGATTGAGGAGGGTGTCTCACCTGGGAGCTTTCTTTGCACTATCATCAAAGTGGAGTCTTGCCAGCTGCCCGGGGTAGTAGCCTTGCAGGTCTCTTCCTTGGTGAGCAATGAAGATACTAGGGCAGAACGTGAGAAGAAAGCCATTGTGACCATGAGTTCATTCCAGGAGAATGTCAGCTGTGGCTAATACAAAACGTAGTTGGTCTTTGTCCCCAGCTCCTGGCACTGAGCCCCTAAAACCCATGGAATTTCTTGATAAGAGTTTTTTTCATGCAAGTTTATGGTCCTTGCGGCCTCCCTCCTCCCACCACAGCCTCCCGCATCTGTAATAAAATGTTATTTATGTTCAGGATTCATAAGGAAATAGTGAACATATCAGGTATCAGGTTCAAAATATTAGGGAAAAAAGAAATACTTGGATATATAAAACCAGTGGGTGGGCAAGCATATTTCTGGAATAAAATAAAATTAAATGAAAAGAAAAACAATAAAAAATAAATACATAAAACCAGTGGGACAAATGTTAATAACAGTTGAAATGTGGGAATCGGGCTGGGCACGGTGGCTCACACCTGTAATCACAGCACCCTGGGAGGCTGAGGTGGGTGGACCACTTGGTGTCAGGAGTTTGAGACCAACCTGGCCAACATGGTGAAACCCGTCTCTATTAAAAATACAAAAAATTAGCTGGACGGGGTGGCACATGCCTTAATCCTAGCTACTGGGGAGGCCGAGCCAGGAGAATCACTTGAACTCTGGAGGCGGAGGTTGCAGTGAGCCAAGATTGTGCCATTGCATTCTAGCCTGGGCAACAATGCGAGACTCTGTCTCAAAAAAAAAAAAAAAAAATAGAGAAACGTGGGAATCAGTAAATGGAGGGCTCTGTCTGGAAAAACATATAATAATAATAATAAAAGAAACATGGGAATTGGTAGTGGGGACTCATACTGTTTTTTTTTTCTACTTTTGAGGTTTACAAAATTTTATTTTTAAAAAACTGTAACAACTAAGTCTGTAAAAACAAAACGTGAAGCAGCACAGCAATCGCAAATGGGAGGGAGACTCAGCCCTGTCTAGAGGCTGAAGGCTGAGGATTTTGGGGAGCACTGGTGTGAGCCAACACGTGGAGACTGGGTGACAGTACTTCTGTGGGGTGGACGTCAGAAAGGGTGGTACAAGTGAGATACGAAGGGGCTGGGAGAGACCAGGCTGGAGGGGAATGGTGCTCAGATTTTGTGCTTTCAAATACATCTCACTTTATTTTATTTATTCATTTTGAGACAGAGTCTCACTGTGTTGCCCAGGCTGGAGTGCAGTGGCCCGATCTCGGCTCACCGCAACCTCTGCCTCCTGAGTTGAAGCGATTTTCCTGCCTCAGCCTCCTCAGTAGCTGGGACTGCAGGTGCCTGCCACCACGCCTGGCTAATTTTTGTATTTTTAGTAGAGATGGGGTTTTCCCATGTTGGCCAGGCTGGTCTCTAACTCCTGGCCTCAGTGATCTGCCTGCCTTGGCCTCTCAAAGTGCTAGGATTACAGGCGTGAGCCGCTGCTCCTGGCCAGAAATACATCTCATTTTATAGTACATTGCTTTTCCTTTTATATTATAGTTACAAAACTGTAATGAGATAGGTTGGTGCAAATGTAATTGTGGTTTTTGCCGTTATTTTCAACGGCAAAAACTGCAATAACTTTTGCACCAACCTAATATTTTTTAATTTATATGTAGCTGGTTTATATTGTTTACAGATTTTATTTCAGAAGAATAGCAGAGCTATTACAAAGTATGTGTTATTTAAAAAGGGGCATTGTATCTGAAAGTTTGAGAACTACTGATGGAGGGGATAGGGACTCTGTGAGGTTTGGTTTTTGTTTGCTTTTAAGATGGAGTCTGACTCTGTTGCCCAGGCTGTAGTGCAGTGGTGTGATCATTGCTCACGGCAGCCTCTAACTCCTGGGCTCAGAGATCCCCCGTCTCAGCCTCTTAGTGGCTGGGAGAGAAGACAGGCATCTATATATATGCCAGGCGTATGGCTTATGTATGTTGCCCAGTCTACTTTGTGAGATTTTTAACAAGATTCGTGATGTGATGTAGAAAGATCTTTTCTGATGGCAATGTGGAAAACAGTTTTTTTTTCTGTTTTTTTTTTTTAAAGACAGGGTCTCACTATGTTGCCCAGGCTGGTCTGGAACTCCTGGGCTTAAGTGATCCTCCTGCGTTGACCTCCCAAAGTTCTGGGATTGCAGGTGAGAGTCACCTCACCCAGCCAGAAAACAAATTTGAAGACCATCTGACTGAGAGCAGAAAGGCTGTTTAGGAAGTGATTGTAGTGCTTTATGTGGGACATGACGAAGCTCTGATATGATGGAAATGTGGATGGAGAGGATGGGGCTGGTTGAGGATGTTTTAGGAGACAGGGTGGAGGGTGAAAGACAGGGAAGAGTCCAAGACAAAGCTGCCTCTTCAGGCGTGGGAAAGAATCCTGCCTGTCCCCAAGAGAGGGGACACAGCAAGTCACCATCGCTGGGAAGATGACTTTATTGAGTTTGTGATGCCTGGACATGTGGTGTCTTTTTGGACCTCCCACAGATTCCGAGCAGTCAGTAGATACTATAAAAATTCAGTCAGGGGGCCAGGCACAGTGGCTCACGCCTGTAATCCCAGCACTTTGGGAAGCTGAGGTGGGCAGATCACGAGATCAGGAGATTGAAACCATCCTGGCTAACACATGGAAACCCTGTCTCTACTAAAAATACAAAAAATTAGCCAGGTGTGGTGCCATGTGCTACTCAGCTACTCAGGAGGCTGAGGCAGGAGAATCGCTTGAACCCAGGAGACGTAAGTTGCAGTGAGATGAGATCACGCCACTGGACTCCAGCCTAGTGACAGAGTGAGACTCTGTCAAAAAAAAAAAAAAAAAAAATCAGAGTCAGTAGAAAGCAGCACATAGTTTTGCAGAAAGTATCGCACTAAATATGTGTTAGATGATGGATAAAAACTGAAACTATGCCTTCGGTTCAACTCAACCAACCTTTATTGAATGCACACAAAACACCCTGCGCTATGGTAGGCTCTGCAGAGACAAAGCTAAGAAGCAGTACTTGTCCTCAAAAATCTTGTCACATGCTGAAACTGTGATCTGAATAAAGGGTCTGTGGGACACAGAAGAGGGAGGAGTATGTAGGATTTGGACGAGCAAAGCGGATGGGGAAGAGATTCCAGGCAAAGGAAATTATAGAGGCCAAGACTTGGACAGGATTGGGATCCGAGTGAAGCGTATAAATTGGGATCAGAGTGGGCCTGTCTAGTATGAGAGGTAAGCGCTGAGCCGGGCGAGCTCTGTTTCTGTCTGTGCAAAGAGGACCTCTGGGAGGTCTGATTTGCAGAAAAACCACAGGCTGTCTGGGCTTGCCCAGTGGCTGGGATAACATGACTGAGCCCTGAATGGTAAATAACAACAGGGGATTAAGTCATAAGAAGAGAGAGAAATTGGCACAATAAAGGGAACAAATGACATCTCTGAATGCAGGGTGTGGGACACATCACTTTCTTGGGCACTTAATCATTTTCTGAAGCACCACCTTGGAATATTACCAAAGGTGGCCCTGGGGCCACTTTACAGTTTAAGAATCCACTGGAGCTCCTAAAGGACTGGTTTCTTTCTTTCTTTGTTTTTTTTTTTTTTTTTTGAGACAAAGTCTTGCTCTTGTGCCTCAGGCTGGAGTGCAATGGCGTGATCTCGGCTCACTACAACCTCTGCCTCCCGGGTTCAAGCGAATCTCCTGCTTTAGCCTCCAAATAGCTGGGATTACAGGTGCGCCACCACGCCCAGCTAAATTTTGTATTTTTAGTACAGACAGGGTTTCACCATGTTGGCCAGGCTGGTCTCAAACTCCTGACCCAGGTGACCCACATGGCTCTGCCTCCCAAAGTGTTGGGATGACAGGCGTGAGCCACTGCACCTGGCCGAAGGACACTGGTGTCTGTAGTTGCCAGGCTGTCGGGGTGGGCTGAGTTTTGACCACGGTATGCATACAAAGGCTGCTGAATACAGGTGAGTAAACTCAGCACTGCTCTTTAGAAGCAGTCAGTAAAAGCTGATTTGAGGATAAAGAATCCGTACACCAGCCGCAAGTAATTAATACTCCCTGACTTGGCCCTTTGGAAGTGTCTCTTGGCAGGTTTTGGGAGGAGTGAAGAGAAAATGGGAAGGCGTGTATAAGGAAATGTGTGTGGAGGGAGGGCTGGCTGGGTGGAGAAGAGAGTTTTTACCTCCGAAGGGGAAACAGCTAGCCAGGCCAGAGGCTGTGCATCTCCCGGCCTCAGAGGATGATTGTGAAAGCACGTGGCTGTGGAGCCCCGCCCAACCCAGGGTTCTGCTCACACTGATTCTGTTGACCTGGCTGTAGAAAGCCCTTTCCTTCTCACTGGGCGGGTGCAGGCACTGTGCATTATTTCCAGTCCCTGATGGCTTGGCTCTTTGAGGTGAGGTGTTCAGTTCACATGAGAGCAAGCCTGTCCCGTGGGAGGGTGACTGTAACTGGAGCAGGATCTGCCCCAGTCAAAATTCAATATGCACAGGAGAGGCCAGGGGTGTCCAACCCTCCGGAGCCTGGTCCCACAGCCCCGGGTAGCTTACGTTCCTGGGACTGCGCTCTTCCGGGTTACGGCCCTACGAGGCCTCATGCTCTGCAGAGTATTTTCACAAAAATGATCTCACTTCATCCTCACAGTCACCTTGCAAGGTAAACATGATTAACTCTCTGCTGTATAAGAATACGCCAAGTCTCAGAAAGGTTAAGTGGACTTTTTAATAGTAAAGTCCACTGAAACGAGTCCATGCCGGCGCTGTGACTCAATTCCAGTTTTCTAAGCTCCACGTCGCATTCTGCCACCCATAATATGTGTGATGATTTTTTTTTTTTTGGAGACAGAGTCTTGCTCTGTTGCCCAGGCTGGAGTGCAGCGGTGGGATCCCAGTTCACTGCAGCCTCTGCCCCTCCTGGGCTCAAGTGATCCTCCTGCCTTAGCTTCCTGAGTAGCTGGGATTACAGGTGCCTGCCACCATGCCCAGCTAATTTTCGTATTTTTAGTAGAGATAAGAGTTTTACCATGTTGGCCAGGCTGGTCTTGAACTCCTGACCTCAATTGATCCACCCGCCTTGGCCTCCCAAAGTGCTGGGATTACAGGAGTGAGCCACCTCACTCAGCCTTAAAAGAAAATTCTTAAGGTGTACTCAAAAAGGACACATCATCCATTCACTCATTCTGTAGCTTCTGGAAGTAAAAGGACTTCTCTTTTTTGAAAAACATGGCTAAAATAGCTCAATATTAAACTTGTGGCCGGGTGTTGTAGCTCACACCTGTAATCCCAGCATTTTGAAGACCCGTGAGAGGACTGCTGGAGGCCAGGAGTTCCAGACAGACTGGGCAACATAGCGAGACCTGGTATCTACAAAAAATTTTAAAATGAGCAGGCAGCTCGTAGTCCCAGCTCCTCAGGAGACTAAGGCAGCAGGAAGATCAGTTAAATCCAGGAGTTTGAAGTTGGACCAAGCTACGATCCCATCACTTCACTCCAGCCTGGGCAACAGAGTCAGACCTTGTCTCTAATAAATAAGTAAAAATAAAATAAAAAACATGAGGCTTGCTCAAAGCCACGAAGCCAACGGGGTTACAAGAGGCTGACCCCAAAATCACAATGTGAAGTTGCTGTCATGAGTTTTTAGCTTCTCTACTTCTGCAGACTCCATAGCAGGTGATGAAGGGAGAGTGGAATTAGGATTTACAGATTGTCATCTGATATCACATTTATCATAACAAAACATATCTAAGGCTTGTTATTCTTGTGCCATAGATGACCTTGAAGAAAGAATGAAACTGCTCCTTAATTTCCATCTGTGCTCTCAGCTCCCATTGCGTAGAAGTACAGGAGCAATTTGTTTTGCCCCAAGCAGAGTAAACGGTCCAATCCAAAATGTGGGCTTCGGTCCCTCAGACTTCTCGCTAAAGCACTTCCCAAGCAAAAACCAATATCCTTCTGATCTTCCAGGAATTTGGAGTTGCCTGTTTGCTTGGATTCTGCAATGAGTGTCAGGTTTCTTTTTCTTACTACTTTCCCTAAGTCCAATGTAGAGACGAAAGCAACCCTATGTTGGATGCTAATTCACCATGTTGGCTTCTGATTAATCCCTTGTATTAGCCGATTTTCATACTGCTATAAAGAAGTACTCGACACTGGGTAATTTATAAAGAAAAAGAGGTTTAATGGACTCACAGTTCCACATGGCTGGGGAGGCCTCACAATCACAGCAATAGGCAAAGGAGGAGCAAAGCCATGTTTTACATGGCAGCAGGCAAGAGAGCTTGTTCAGGGAACTCCCACTTATGAAACCGTAGATCTCGTGAGATTTATTCACTGTCACGAGAACAGCATGGGAAAAACCCATCCCCCCACGATTCAGTTTCCTCCCACCAGATCCCTCCCATGACATGTGGGGATTATGGGAGTTACAATTCAAGATGAGATTTAGGTGGAAACACAGCCAAACCGTATCACCCCAGACCTCTAAGATTTCCACTTTCTCTATAGTTTCTGGTGTCAGAGCAGGTACTTACTGTAAGTTCTGCACTTCAGCCAAACAGCATTGGCGTAATAATACTTCAAGTGTCTCACACATTGCTTCTGTATCACCCTTTACCTAGGGTATCTAAGCCCTGGCTCTCGGGCATGATGGTGCAGACATCCACCATCTCATCTCACTGCCACCCGACACACATACATAGCTTCTGGTCCTAAGTCCCTGCTAAATATTTCTTTGTAAGAAGATGGATTTGTCAGCCTCTTTCTTTGGCCTCTCAGCTTCCTCTGACTTTTGCTGGTAGGTTTGCATAGACATGCTCAACAGGGAACACCCAAAGAGCTTCCCTAGACCTCCCTGGCAGTGGTCTCTCAACCACTGAACAGCAGGATGTGCGGTTCTAACTCCCCAGGGACCTGGCTGCCTGGCCACAGCCTTGAGGCTGTGCATCTGGAAGAATAATACCTTGGTGGGATCGCTCGGCGACGTTCAACAAATTCTCGTAGTCGGATGGCAGTCATGATGGATGGGAATCTGAAAAAAAAATATGGATAAAGGATCATATTGCCAGGTTTCGCATAGTTCCATGGGTGAGCCCTCTGGTACCACAAAGTCCATCTTGAAAGAAATCAGTAAAAAACTTGACATAGCAGAAAAACTATGGGTATAGACTATTTAGGGAAGGAAATACAAGGTTAGCAAAGGAGCAAAAAGAAATGGTAAGCACAAGGCAAATACACACAGATGTGCATTTCTTTTCTTTTTTGAGAAGGAGTTCCACTCTGTCGCTCAGAATACAGTGGTGCGATCTCTGCTTATTGTAACCTCTGCCTCCTGGGTGCAAGTGATTCTCCTCCCTCAGCCTCCCGAGTAGCTGGGATTACAGATGCATGGCACCACACCCAGCTAATTTTTGTGTTTTTGGTAGAGATGGGGTTTCACCATGCTGGCCAGGCTGGTCTCGAACTCCTGACCTTGTGATCCACCTGCCTTGGCCTCCCAAAGTGCTGGGATTACAGGCCTGAGCCACCACATCCAGCCAGATATGCTTTTCTTCAAAAAGCAAAGGTTAAAAAAAAAAGGTTAATATAAATAAATAAGAAAATAAAAAGCAATGGCACTGTGCTGATGTTAGTTGGGTATAGTCTCCTGTCTCACTTCATTGTTTTTGTTTTTGTTTTAATCAGTTACGACCCAAGATCCTGTCTCATTTCTTAGTGGGCCTTCCTACCTCACAAGCTTGCAAGCAAAGCACACATTTCCCAGAGTCCCTCACAATTAGAATTTTGGCTAGGAATGAGAGTCCCTCAATCAGCTATACTTGTTAGGATTTGGAAGGTGGACACAGGGGAGAGGCTGCCACCTTGATCTTTACTGGCGAAGCAAGGTTGTGGAAATATGGTGTTTTTCTGCAGCAAACTCTAATGTTTCACTTCCAGCTTTGGGGAAGTCAAGAAGCAATTGCTGTGAAGGCAGTGGCTGAACTCTGTGTCCCAGGGTTCAAATTCCTGCGTCCTGGGTGGCAGAGGCAGTGGCGTTGGGAGTAGGTTCTTGAACTCAGTACTCCTGGAAGCAGCTTCCTGATCTGGACTGACATAGCTTTCCCAGTGATGGGTCAGTTTTGGGGAGATGTTCTAGATGCCTCCTGGGGGCCCCACCCAGAGCCTGTTCCTCCAGCGCTTCTGAAGATTTTTTTTAAGGCCTTCATTCTCTATGTTAACATTCTTTCTGTTTCCCATACTGACCGTAGACTAAACATACATGTTGTTTCTAGTCTAAAATTTCTTTTCACATCTGGTTTTTTTTTTTTTTTTTTTTGAGACGATCTTGTTTTGTCTCCCAGGCTGGAGTGCAGTGGCACAATCTTGGCTCACTGCAGGCTCTGCCTCCCAGGTTCAAACAATTCTCCTGCTTCAGCCTCCTGAGTAGCTGAGATTACAGTCTCCTGCCAACACACCCAGCTAATTTTTGGTAGAGATGGGGTTTCACCATGTTGGCTAGACTGGTTTTGAACTCCTGACCTCAGGTGATCCACCCACCTTGGCCTCCCAAAGTGCTGGGATTACAGGCATGAGCCACTGCATCTGTCCCACATCTGATTATTTGCTGGAGAATGTGGCTTTCTACAAGCAAACTGCTACATTTAAATAATCCCATGAAGTGGCGAGACACCATCTCCATGAAAAATACAAAAAAAAAAAAGAAGATTCACATGAAAAAGAGTAAACAATGGGAAGGGAAATTGAGTGGCTGGGGGACAGAGGCATGCTTTTCGCCATTTACCTGAGGAATGCTGCGCTCTGCATATCTATTACGTATGCACAAAGACAGCTGGGCCTGTGGTTTGCACAAACATGGCTGGGGTATGGGGGGAGAACACTGGACTGAAACCTGTGTGGCTGAGGCACGCCATTTTCCCACTGTGCGCGTTGACAGTAGCCCTCGGGAGGGTTAAATGGGCGATGCTGAGTGCGGGAGTGTTCTGTGCCCTTGAAAGCATCTCCGAGAAGGGAGAAATATGAGTTCCTATGGCAATCACGGATTACGCATCAGGTAACATGTATTAACTCCTGTTAGCTCCCCAGCAACCCTTCAGAGTTCTATTTGCTTCCAAGAAAATTAGAGTACTAAGAAGTCAAGTAACTTGTATGAGGTTACCAAGGAACCAGGGCTGGAACCCTCTGGCTGCAGAAATATTTATTTTAACTCTTATTCTCTATCGAAACAATCACAAGGCACCCAGACCATCAGCCAAAACAAAACTAGGATTATTCAGTAACCAGGAGACAGAAAGGACTGGAAAAAAAAATGTGTAACGGCTCCTTCTTTTCCCTTTCATAGTCAACGGTTAACTCTGCCTGCCGCCTGGCTAGCTGCTTTATTTCACCTAAGTGTGTTTTTCAAAGCAACTTGAAAGCTGATCACTGATTGTCTGATCTATTCAGCAAAGATTTATTCACCAGCTACCTTCACCTGACACTGCCGGGCACTCTAGAAAATGCGTTTAGCAGAAGATGCGTGATTTCACTGTCATGTTGCTTAGCAGTCTGGTGGAGGAGATAAAGTCAGATATTAATCATAGAGCCACGCAAATATAAAATCAAAGCACAGTTACTGCTAAAACAGAATCCTTTAGCACCAAGTGACCTTCCAGGCAGCTGGGTGGCTGGGCTTCCCTTTCCTCTTTCAGAGGTCTAGAACACAGGCTCTAAGAGCAGATAAGTCACATTTGCTTCAGAAAACCTGCACATTTTCCCGGATAGGAAACATCTGAAAAGGTTTTCTCAAGAAAAAGGACTTTCTGAAGACTTCGTTGAAAAACATTTTTTAAAATTGGCATCTATTTTTATGGTAGGAAGAATTTTAAATATCGTTAAATTAGGCCTGTAATCCCAACACTTTGGGAGGCCGAGGTGGGTGGATCACTTGAGGTTAGGAGTTCAAGACTAATTTTCAGGCAGGAAAATCGCTTGAACCTGGAGGTGGAGGCTGCAGCAAGCCAAGATGATGCCACTGCACACCAGCCTGGGCGACAGAGCAAGACTCCAACTCAAAAAAAAAAAAAGTGTTGTTCACTGCACTCCAGCCTGGGTGATAGAACAAGACTCCATCTTAAAAAAAAAAAAAAAAAAGTGTTGTTAAATCAAAGCTTGGGAACTCCCAGTACAATGTCCAGTGGAACTAGTAAAAATTACTTAGTAAATTTAATCAATGTATAGGCCCCAATTAAATGATAACTACCGAGCTATTAATTAATCTGTCCAGAGAAGGGGCAGAGGAAGGATATTAGAGTCAGGGTCCCAAGACTGATGTTATACATCTAGTAAGATTTGGAGAATTCAGTGAGTCAATGGAAACGTGTGGAATAGTCAGGAGATAGCATTTTAACTGGTGAGTACATTGCATCAGTTGATTTTCTGGATGCATTTTATAATGCCCCTTTTCCTTGGAAGTGTTGCATCTGTGTTCATGAAATTAGAGGAAGTTCAACCCCTGGGGAAAGCCGTGCCCTAGTGATCAGAGCGTGCAGAGAAGGCATGGGTGAAGAGGCTCTTCTCAGGATTGGCATGACCCACCCTGGCTAGGAGCATGACTACTGTACTGTGAGCATGCGTGTGATGACAGGCCGTTTAGAGCGGCTCGCGGTAACGGAGGGGCCTTCCCAGACCGCTGTTGCTTCTGTTTGTCAGGCAGCCAGTTTTCCCGGTTCAGGAAGGTTGGCTCCCCTCGCCCTTCATTCTCACCGATTCCATAGTGAGCTCTGCTGCCTGAATACTTTTTCCTTTCTCCTTCTCTAGTCTAAATTAAACCCATTCTTCAGGGCTGTATTCAAGTCCGGCAGAAGTTCTCTACAAGGCTTCTTCTGAGTTTTAAATGGCCCATTTCCCTCCTCTGAATTCCCAGAGCCCCTGGTAAATTCTACTATGCAGTTTGGTTTACTGGCTGCTGAATTAATTTAGTCATTCTATTATTGAAGAAAAATTAGCGAACTCTCTGCCAGGCTTTGGATAAGGCTCTAGAAATTCTTCAAACAACAAGACATCTGGGGCTTTTTTGTGGTTGTTTTTTGTTTTCTTAAATAGACACAGGTCTTGCTATGTTGCCCAGGCTGGTCTCAAACTCCTGAGCTCAAGCAATTCTCCAGCCTCGGCTTCCCAAAGTGTTGGGATTACCGGTGTGAGCCACCACGCTTGGCCAAGACAGCAGTTTATACAGCACTTTGTCTCTCCAGGTAAAATGTGAGCTCCTAGACGCTGGGGGCCACTTTGTTTTGGTGGCCACTCTCTTCGCTCTCTTTGTCCTTCTTCTATCTCATTCTCTTGCAAAGGGTTTCCTATCCAAGGAGTGCTTGATGCCTGCTTCAGAATGAATGAATTAATGAAAGAATCGGTCGCTCAGCTAACTCAATAACCTGTTAATCTAGTTAACAGCTTTTAAAACTTAGGTCTTCTTGTATCACAGAGAACCAGATATCTTAAGAAATATAGGTGCACCCATTTCTAAGAAAAAACAAAACAAAAAAAGACACGTTGAGTTAAAACTATTACAAGAATTCAAAGTTGAGTGGGATGAGTGTTCACTTTCTAAAAGAAATATTTGCTTTATCAAAAGCCTTGCCATAACGTTTCTTTATGGTGTGAGTTCCTATCTCTAAAATACTTGAAATGTAGTCACCATTTAGTAATGCAGCCACTACGGGGGGCAAGAGAGAGGTACAGGCAGTAACAACCACACCACTATTACCTGCCTCGGCTGCAGTGGGCAGAGACCTCCTTGTTCTTAAAAGCACTCCTCTGAGGACAGTGGGGATTACAGCTGCCTCCTGCTGCTGGATCAACTGCAGAGACACACTGCAGCGGTGCAGAGCCTGATCCTTTACATCATTCAAAGGGTATTGTGATGCACATTGGCTTACAGAGCTTTGCCAGGCAATGCATTTCAGGTCTCGGGCTTGTAAAAAGTAGAGACCCTTTGGTCGCTAGGGAGAGTCCAGCTGCACGTGAGAGAAAGGGCAAAAATGAGTGTGAAAAGGAAAATCCTGTAGGCAAATAATCCAGGCTGTCTAATCAGCGGAGCTTTCTTTTCTATAAAGATTGTCCCAAGCACAACGTAAGGTGAAAATCTGGGTGTCACACTGAGGAGTCCTGCCCTTTACAAGCTAGAATTGAGGAAGCGGTTTGGCACCGAGGGAAAGATGAGGCCAACTCTGCCTGGTTCAAGACTAGATTAGGCTCCAACCTGCACCTCTGAAGGTATCAAAGGAGAATTTTAATTATTTAAAAATACGCTTCAAACC